CAGCCCCGAGGACTTAACATTGAGTTCTCTAATTTCAAATAACCTTCCCACCCATTCCCGGCTCCCTTTCCAGTCCTGAGTCCTGCCTCCTGCCTTCTATTCCACTTACCGCCTCCTCCCTTCTATTCCAGCTACCAACTAGGTCGTACCTACTACCAGTGTCCACCTATCACCACCATTTCTCTATCTTCCCCCTACCTCTGTCTTTATTTGCAGCTCCCCCTAACCCCACATCCAGTCCTGAAGAAGAGTAATACCCGAAATGTTGACTTCTCCTCCTCCAGATGCTGTATGTCTACCTTGAATTCTAGCATCTGCTGTATTTTTTTTTATCTCTAACCTTTCATATCACCAACCTTACACAGCACACTGATGGTATAAGAGGAGCAGAAGCTTTTGTTACCATCAACATCATATGTCCACAAAAGACAGGTTGATGCACAGTGTAAAACAAAATTGATGTAGGAGTGAACTAGTGCCAACGTATAACTACAATCCACACTGAAAGACATATCCCAACAAGTGGCATTCCATGGTACAACCTACAAAAGACCATTTCATAGCATATAACAGATCATAAATTCTTCAGTGACACAATCACGGTGTAATGCCAGTATGCAAGTTTAGCTTGGATTCCTGAAATCTTCTACCTGGTACCGCTGATCCAGCAGTGTAAGGACTGTCAGTATACATAGAACTCAGTATCATGAGCATTCATGACAATCAAATCAAACAAACAGTGGTCAGAATGAAAGAGACCCTTTCTTTTCAAGGACGGTGAAAAATGAAGTAGATATATGAGACCAGCGAGCAAGTCGAGAGTTACCACGATAGAGAGTGTGAGCCATAAATCCAGTCACACATAACTGGATACGGACAAAGATTTCTAAGAAATGCATCAGTCCTGATTGCAAGAAGTTAGTACTGATCATGAAGAAACAAGAACCAGCTCAAACCAATGAATGATAAGCCAATGTAGAGAGCCAGGAGGAGAACACTGATGACAATCATTGTGTGATGATGCTGACCAACAGCAACCAGCAGCATAGCAGCCAAATTTGTTAACCAGGAGCAACTGAGCAGAACACACAGCTGTCCAGATGTTTATACAATCACCAGATCAGGACAAGTTGCAAAACATAAAATCAGAGTTTGAATTATTAATCTTGCTAATTCTATTTTTCCATTTCTCTACAATGGTTGAATTGACAAGTGGAAATGTTCTTTCAAGAAAGTAGGATGTTATATTATGACTCACAGCAGATACGCAACACACCTTTAAGAGACATGCTCATGATGCCACCGCTATATCAAAGCATGTGTCCTAATGGTATCAGGTTCTCAGTTCTACCTTAATTGTAGAATGATACACTGAATGAACTGTGCTACAGAATAGCTTGATCCCAGACACACAAGTATCCTTGACTGTACATAACTAAATACCAGGAGCTGTACAAAAATATACTGAATCCTTCAGGATGGGTCACTGGACCCCAAACATTAACTCTGATTTTTTCTGAGTTTTTCTTCACAGATCCTGCTGAGCTTTTCCAGCAACTTCTGTTTTGTTCCTGATTTACAGTATCCGCAGTTCTTTAGTTTTTATTTCATATTTAGTTGCTGGAGCTAACATAATTATCACAGCATGATAGTTGCAGATCATCTATACCTACAACATCATTGGAGGTAGAACACTACAGTTAACCTGACTCAGAGGCCTTGCATACTCACCAAATCCCTGACTGCTGTTGTTGCAACTCTGTAACTGACAGTACACGAATACTCTGTCTGCCAATGCTGGCCCTCAAGGATTGACCACTGACCACTCCTTGGATTTAGTCATATAGCACCCCAACTGTGAGTGCCCCAAGCTGGCAACAGACCATGATGTAGTGCTTTGACTGTGCCTGCAACTGACTAACAGAGCCCTCTCTCCTTTGCCTGGAATGAGGACTAACTATCAGTTTCCTTATGGTCATTTTTGTTGAACGTTCATGGAGTGTGTTTGCTGCGCAGGCAGATAACACATGCTATAGGACTTAGATTGATGTTTCGGTTGTGCTGCTTAACAAGCTGTCCCGCAACCACCTGATAGATCCATACAATGATAAGTAGCGTGCCTATGTCCACAAAAGAAAAGCTCAAAATGGCAGTGGTGAAAGCCTTTATCTATGACTAACAGGTACAGCACGTCAAGGCAATGCTAGGATTCAATGCTGCGAGCATGCAGGTAGGCACTAATTGTGTGAGTGCTAAGTGAATTGGGTACTTGTCCATGCGTGTGCAGTATCCTTACAGTAACCCTGAAATGCTAGTTGCTGGTGAACACTGCAATACAAGTCTGTGCTTCATGAGCAACCTATAAATGTATTACAGAGCTGCCACCACAGTTGTAAGGGTTTGGCAGTTGCCACATGCTAACGTGTATGGATGAGAGATAGATGTGGCTGGTGCCCATGAATCATTCGCTGAGATGCAATTTGGTCACAGCCAACATGAAGATGGTGCAGATCAGCAGTGAGCTGAATCCACTAGATACCTAGTCTGGTTTCCGTATCGAGTTTTCCCAATATTTAGTTTATTAGATGAGCTTGGTAAGATAGGATGCCCTTAATGACATGCATTGTGCCATCAACATGGAATTCTTGTCACACGTCTTCCCATAGCTGATGTTACTCAGACCCCTTTAAGATTCCACCCTATGTTGCTGCTGTCCAGCTATCAGCGGCTGTAGTTCCTGTTCTCTTAGCTGCTCCTTCACAGGAAATTTCCCACCTCTTCATGCATGGGCCAGCATTGGCAGACAGAGTATTCGTGTACTGTCAGTTACAGAGCTGCGAAAACAGCAGTCAGGGATTTGGTGAGTCATGTATAGGGGCTGCTCATTGAAGACTATTATAAATCTGGGGCAAATAGAGTCCTTGGTATCCATCTATTCATCATGTTTCATGATTCAGTGGGAGGCTCATAGGGGCAGCTGGGTGTGAACTGCAAGAAGAGGTAGAGAAGTCAAGGTTAAATTGAGAAAGCAGAAGTATTTGTAGAGGTTGGAGGGGACAAGGACAGTGATAGGGAGCAGGCGAAACATAAGCTGAATGGGAGGTTATGTGGAACAGCATTGAAAAGCATGGTAGGCAATGGGGGAGTCCAGAAGAGTAGGATGGACATTATCAAGCTGTAATACTAGGGGTGCAAGGAAAACAGTTGTAGGTGAAGTGGAATTTGGTGGGTCACAATATGGCGGGGGTGTATGGGTTGAAATGGGCTGTTGAGATGGTGTGAAATAATAAAGGATAAGGAGGCTTTGGGTGGGTGGATACCTGGAAGTGACAAGGTGTCAAACAATGGCAGAGTGGATTGGGTTCAGTTGCATTTAAGTTAGAATATCAAAGGTAAAGGGGAAGGTAGGATTGCAGGTTAATGATGGGGCTGATCATTAACAAATAAAAGGAAGGGGCAGAATGTGTGAATGTCATATTGCATCAAGGAAATAAAAGCGTAGGGCAATTGTTAATAGAACAGACTTAAAGGCTTTATGTCTTAATGCATGAAGCATGAATTAGAACAAAAGAATAGAATATTATTTACATGGAGAGAAACTACAGAGAGCTGCAACACAAAGGGACTTGGGGGTACTTGTGCACGAAACACAGAAAGCTGGCACACAGGTGCAGCAAGCAGTCAGGAAGGCCGATGGAATCTTGGTCCTTATTTCAAAGGGGTTTGGATTATATAGAAGGCAATTGCACAAGGTCCCAGTGAGACCACATCTGGAGTACCACGAACAGTTTTGGTCTCCCTATTTAAGAAACTATATTATTTCATTGGAAGCAGCTCAGAGAATGTTCATTCGGATGAGCGCCGGCATGGAGGGATTGCCTTATGAGGAAACTTTAAACAGATTGGAACTCTACTCATTGGAATGTAGCAGAATGAGAGGTGTTTACAGTGAAACATACGATTCTTAAGGGGCTTGACAGGGTAAAAGCTGAGAGGTTGTTTCCACTCACGGGAGAGTCAACGACCAGAAGGCATAGTCTTAGAATTAAGGAGCTCCAATTTAAGACTGAGATGAGGAAGAATTTCTTCTTTCAGAGCGTTGTGAGTCTTTGAAACTGCTTGCCACAGTGAGCTGTGGGACAGAGTCCTTGTGTATATTTAAGGATGAGATAGCTGGATTTTTGATCGTAGGAGAATCAAGGGTTCTGGGGAAAGGGCAGGAAAGTGGACATGTGTATTGTTGGATCAGACATAATCCAAATGAATGGCAGTACAGATGTGAGAGGCCAAGTGGCCGACTTCTGCTCCTATTTGTTATGGTCTTACAGTCAACCAAATTTGCATTCCCCGAACTATCACTTTTCATTTTCTAGATGTAAGTACCACAAGAAGATGGCTGGGACAATGCCCAGGGTGGATGGACTAAGTGATTGATAGATATACATGGGACCCATGATTGCTGGACACTACAACATTATAGCAACAAACACATGAAGCAGCCATTGCAAAGTGCAAGTACACTTAATCTGCAACAATTTCATCAGGCTGGGACATTTTATGTATCCAATCACAGCAACCACTAGAAGGCCATTTATCCACTATCTTCTTATCCACTATGGATTTCAAAATATTTTGGCTTACTTTTATGGTCATATTCTCTTAAAACTTTACACAGCTAAACTTTGCTGAATAACATTATATTCAAAAACAAAGCATTGACAATAACATGTTCATAGACTGTGTCACATTCTGCTGATTATTAGTTTATTACCCAACATGTGTTTTACATAAGATAAATTAGTTTTTGTTTTGGTTGCCCACCTTGTGTTTTGTGTTATGACTCCTAGGTCAAACTATCATTTAATAATATATAGGGTAGTAATGGAGCACTCGGTCATTGGCATGTGTTTCACTTATGAGAATGATCAATGGTGCCAAACCCACGAGAATATCAAATGTGAGGCCTTCAAAATTTTAACGATCTCATTTTGTCTTCTCAGAAACTATCGCATGGCAACCATCCTCAAAATAGCAACTCCCAACTTTCTGAACGGTGTGCCCCTGACTTGTCTAGTGAACCAGATCACATTGGAAAAAGAAGGCAGCCATAAGCTGAAACAGGGAAAAAAAAGATAAAAATGAAATTGTACACAAAACTGAATTTGCTGTGTGATATTATTTATCCACTCAAATTGTAATTCCTGGTTTGAAATTAAGCAAAATAAATACTTTCTTATTTGATACCCAAAGTGTGTACAGTGCCACTAATGAGAAATATACTCAGACAGAATTTGACCATTAAGCTCACTTAACATGCTTCCTTCTTGCTGATTAATAAAGAAGCACTGTCATGAGAAATTAAGTATTCTAGAATGCAGTTCAGTAAATGTTCCCAACTGGAAAATTATAGCAACGCTGATGATAGATAGAAGCCAAAATATTACATTTGACTCCATCTGTGAATCAATTCATGCAGAATTAAGTTGGTCTGTAAGGCTAATTTTAACCTTTTGCCTCATGAAGGTGCATAGGCTATTCTTTGCTTCTAGTATCCCCACTGTTTGGTAATTGTCAACAATACCACCACAAATTCATGCTTACGGTATTGTGAGCAATTTGCTTGGGCGCCTGATGGGTGGTTTGACTTCATCATCGTATCTCTGTGGCAATGTCATTCTCACCACCTTAAGAAGAAGCCAGTACTGAGATATGTAAACACAGCCTGGGCCTCATATATGGTTCGCATATGCTGGAGACAAACTTAAGCACTTTTTATGAGCAATGTAAATGGAAGCATAAAATTATAAAAATATCGATAGATTAAGCAAATGGGCAAACCTCTGGCAAATGGATTTTGATGCAGACAAGTATAAGATCATCTGCTTGGACTTAAAAGATTGCACAGGGAACTTTTTAAGTGTCAAAGTGCTGGAAACACTGGCAATCTGAAGAAACTTTAATTGAAATGTCATGGATAAGTTTAAAAAAAAATCAACAAGTTTAAGGATTGGTAACCTGTATACTTAGAAGACCAAACTATAAGGTAGTTAAAATTACGCTACAGCCATTCAAACTCATAGTTATATCACACTTGAAGGAATGTGTTCAGCTCCACGCATCAAAACTTTGGAGGATATATTGGTCTGGAGGGAGTGCAAGAATGAAGTTACAATGGCAGGTTATACAAACTATGTTTGCATTTTGTCAACTTTAGAAAATAGAGGGATGATTTTATCAAAGTTTTCAAGATATTTAAGGGACAGATACAGCAGGTAAAGTGGAACTATTTTTGCTGACCAGGGAATAAAGAACTAGGGGAAATAGCATAAAAGCATTAAAGTCAGGCCTTTCAGGAGAGAAGTTGGAAAATACATCCACATGCAAAAGATGGGAGGCATTGGAATTTATATCTTCAAATATCAGTTAATATATGTCCAGTTGTTTATTTCAGATTTAAGATTCAAAGATTTGTGTTAACCTAAGGTATTAAGAGATACAGTGTGAAGTTCAGTGTATGAAGTTCAGTATATGAAGTTAGATCACAATCAGCCATGATCTCATTGAATGGCAGAACGGACTGGAGGTGCTGCTCCTATGCAAAGATGGTTCGTTAATGCACATTATGTACATAATGCATGCAAAATATTACTATCAAAATTATCACTGTTACATTGCAGAATATGAACAGAGACCATGCTGATCATCCTACTGTAAAAGTATGAAATAGTATGAAAGCACATCCTATGAAAGAGGAAGACAAAGATGTAACTGAAAAAAAATAAGCATTAATTACTTCATAGAATTAATGGGCAAAAGTTTCTGTGTCTGTGCCATCAGTCTTTGCACTGTCAGGGAGGAGAGATCACATCCAGAGCGAGATAGCCTGAGCGAGAATATATCTTGGGGACCTTGGAAGCAGCGTAGGAATTTGGTGCAGAAGGGAAAAGATGTTTTTTGCTTGCCTTTTTGCCTCCTTGTTTGTAAGATCATTTTAACAGGATGAATTGAAGTCCAGAATTGGGGGCGTGGCACAGAGCAAACAGTGACATTGCTGGAAAGCTGTAAGTTCATTGGTTGGTAATAGTTGCTAATTTGACTTTTTTTTAAATTCATTTGTAGGATGTGGGGTCACTGGCTGGCCAGCATTTATCCCCATCTGTAGCTGCCCTTGAGAAGGTGGTGGTGAGCTGCATTCTTGAACCATTGCAGTCCAGTTGCTGTTGGTTGACCCACAATGCCCTTTGGGAGGAAATTCAAGGATTTTGACCCAGCAACAATGAAGTCAGGATTCTAATTGCTTTCAAGACTATACTTTTTTTTATTTATTATTACATATAGGAGCATGTGAAAACAATAGAGCAATAATTATGCTGACTTTAATCTTTATGTTGATTGGGTTAATCAAATTAGAAAAGGAAGCTGCAAAAAAATGATAGATTACATTAGGGATAATTTCCTAGAGCAATATGTCATGGAGCCAACCAGGGAGCAGGCTACCTTGGATCTGGTAATGGGTAATGAGGCAGGTTTAATCAATGATCTCTGAGTAAAAGATCCCCTTGGATACAATAACCATAACATGATAGAATTTAATATTCAGTTCAAGAGTGAGAAACTCAGATCAGAAGCACCTTTGTTTAACTCGAATAAAGGGAATTAGAATGAAATGAGAATAAAATTAGCTAAAATAAACTGGGAAAATAGATGAGTAGGAATGACTGGAAGCAAGCGGTAGCAGACATTTTAAGAAGGTCATTCATGACTCTCAGAAGAGATTCTAGTGAGGGATAACCCAACCATGGCTAACCAAGGAGGAGAAGAGTATTAAGTTGAATGAGAAAAGTATTTAAGGAGGCAAAAGCCCGTGATAGGCCTGAAGACTGGGATATATTCAGAATCCAACAAAGGAAGAGTAAAAGAATAATAAAAGAAAGAGAAAATAAACTAGGAGGACAAACTGGTGAGGAATATAAAATCTGACAATAAGAATCTCTTTAAATATATAAAAATGAAGAGTGGTGAAAGTAAACATAGGCCTTTTAGAATATGAATCTGAGGAGATGATATTGGGCAATAAGGAAATGGCAAAGGAATTAAACAGATATTTTGCATCAGTCTTTATGGTGGAAGATACTTCAGACATCCCATTAATAGTAAAGAATATAGGGAGGAATTGAGTACCATCACCACCACTAAGGAAGCAGTATTAGACCAACCAACGGGGCTAAAAGCTGATAAACTCCCAGCACTGATGGCTTATATCCTAGGATCTTAATCGAAACAGCTATAGAGATAGTTGATGCATTGGTTGCAATTTTCCAAAAATCATTGGATTCTGGAAAACTATTAGAAGATTAGCAGTTTTTCAATGTGACACCTCTATTGAAAAAGGAAGGGTGGCAAAAAGCATGCAACATCAGATCAATCAAATCAGATCTATTATTGGAAAAGTATTGAAATCAGTTGTTACAGAAGTATTGTAGAATTTTGGAAAGTCATAATCTAACGAAGTAGAGTCAGTATGGCATATTCAAAGTCAGCACATTGACTAATTTATTAGAGCTTTTCAAGGAAGTCTCAACTAGAATGGATAAAGGGGAACCAGTAGATGTTATGTATTTGGTCTTCAGAAGGCATTTGACAAAGTACCTCAGAAAAAGTTAAATCATATGATTAGATCCTACAGTGTTGCAGGTAATATATTGGCCTGGATAGAAAATTGACTCGTGGGCAGGAAAAAGCAAGTGGGAATAAGGGGTTCTTTTTCAGTTTGGTAATCCACGACCAGTGAGTTCCGCAGGGATCAGTGCTGGACCGTAACTATTTACAATATATATCACTGACTTGAAGACGAAAATGAATGTACTATAGCCAAATTTGCAGATGACAGAAATAGGTGGAAAGGGATAGCAACAGTTTACAGAGAGATTTTGAAAAGTGGTTAAAAAGTTGGCAAATGGAGTATAACGTGGGGGCAAAGAAAGTGAAATTGTTCTTTTTGGAAGGGAGAACAAAAGAATAAAATATTATTTAAATGGAGAAAACCAACAGAGAGTGCAACACAAAAAAACTTGGGGGTACCTGTGTGTGAAAAGCATAAAACTAGCACTCAGGTGCAGCAAGTAATCAGGAAGGCTGATGGAATCTTGGCCCCTATTTAAAGGGGGCCGGAGTAAAAAGTAGGGAAGTCTTATTGCAACTGCACAGTCCTTGTGGAGACGAATTCCCGCCTCCACATTGAGAATACCCTCCATCATATTTGTGGCATTATCACTGTGCTAAATGGGACAGACTGCAAACAGATCAAGCAACTCATGACTGGGCATCCATGAGGTGCTGTGTGCTATCAACAGCAGCAGAATTGTACTCCTACACCATCCACAGCTCCACAGCCCAGCATATCTCCCGCTTCACCATTATCATCAAGCCAGGGGATTAACCCTTGAGAGTTTACTGCAATGGAGGCAGCAACTCTAGCCTTTCACTGTACTTACGTACATGTGACAACAATAAATCAAACAAATTGCCTTGATTTCTTGCAACTTGCCATCCCTCTGGCCCTGTACTCGTCCCTGGAACATCTGAATAACAAGGATACCAATATCAGGCTCCTACCTATTGACTACAGTTCTGTTTTCAACACCATAATTCCAAATAAACTGACTCTAAGCTCTGAGATCCCCACCTCGTAACTGGATCCTTAACTTCCTAACCCATGACCACAACCAGTAAGAATTGACAACAATACCTCCTCCACAATAATCCTCAATGCCAGAGTCACGCAAGCCTGTGTACTTAGCCCTGTAGTGTACTCCTTATTTACTCACGACTGTGTAGCCAAATTCCACCACAACTCCATTTATAAATTTGCTGACAACACCACCATTGTACGATGGATCTCAAACAACGACGAGGCAGAATACAGGAAAGAGAATGAACGCTTAGCGGCAAGGTGTAAAAGCAACAATCTCTCCATCAATGTCAGCAAAACGAAGGAGCTGGTCATTGACTTCAGGAAGCGGAGTGGAGGGCATGCCCCTGTCTGCATCAATGGTGCTGAGCTGGAGATGGTCGAGAATGTCACGTTCCTGAGAGTGATGATCACTAACAACCTGTCCTGGTCGACACTATGGTCAAGAAAGCACAACGCCAGTTCTACTTCCTCAGGAGGCTAAGGAAATTCAGCATGTCCACAAGGACTCGTCAATTTT